TGTTCTTTCCACTGATTATATTTGAGAGCTCCTTCATCCTACTTTTTTCTGGCTTCATGTACCCGTGAATGTACTATCATTTATTTAACCAATAGCATTGAACAAATAAATAGACCTTAAAAAGAACACAGCATTTTTTAAAAGGGTCCACGTGTTTCTATTTTACTGCCTTCAGTCTCTGTCTCTTGTGCTGCACTCATTAAAACAAACATAAAATGAGACATGTGCCAAATGTTTACCTAGTAAAACCAAGTATGCCTATTCAAAGCCATAATCTTAGAGACAGCACAGCTGCTAAGCACCAACACTTCGAAGGTGCGTCTGAAGAGCCTCTCCAAGGGAGCCTGCCGGTACTTCTGCAGACACCGCTGCAAGGTAACGTAAGGCTACTGTCTTTTTTTTTTAAATATATATTTTATTGATTTTTTACAGAGAGGAAGGGAGAGAGATAGAGAGCTAGAAACGTCGATGAGAGAGAAACATCGATCAGCTGCCTCCTCCTGCACACCCCCAACGGGGATGTGCCCACAACCAATGTACATGCCCTTGACCGGAATCGAACCCGGGACCTTTCAGTCTGCAGACAAATGCTCTACTACTGAGCCAAACCGGTTTCGGCAAGGCTACAGTCTTGATTGACTTTCTCCGCCGTCTCCTATCAAAAAGGAAACGGAAGTGGAGGAAGAAAAAGAACACAACATTCTGGAATACAGCTGGTACAGTGACGTCTGCTGTTCGCCACTTAGCATCCACCCCCGCCTCCCACCCCTTCCTGTACCAGCACCCTGAAAAACTAAAGCCATGATGTGTCTGACTGGGACTAACATTACACCGTCTTTGGGTACCAACGGCTTAAAACCAACCAGCCTGTTTCATCCCGTTAATTAAGATTGGTACAGAGATAGGCATGTGACCAATCAGAAATAAGCAAACAATAAATGTAAAAATTTTATTGCTGGGACTGTAGGGAACACAGCCTTCAGACTGTGTGTGGGGGGTATGTTGTACTCATTGTCATTTTGTCCCCTATCCCCAGGGAACTGGTTGCAAAACCACTGACAGAGGGAGGCAGCAGAGGTAGAGCACAGCCCCAGATGGCACCAGGAAGCTCAGACCAGAACCAGCTGGGCCAGCCCTCCTTCAGAACCTTGAGTTATGAGACTTCTTCCCCAACATAAGCCAATTTACTCTCCCAGCAAAGCTCTCACTTAGAACCGGAGGACATATGAAGAGCTTCCCAAACAAGAAAAAGCTAAAGGAGCTCATTACCATAAGCCAGTGCTACATAAAATGGTGAAGAGTGTTCTTTAAGGCGGGGAAGGAGGGGGAAGAAATAAAAAACATGAAAAATGAAAGGGCAATAAATACATATCTATTATGTACAAATGAATCTAAACACCAAAATAAAAGAAAAAGCAGAACAGAAACAGACTGATAGATACAGAGGGCAGACGAATGGTAGCCACATGGGAAGAGAGTTGGGGGCTGGTGGAAAGGGGAAGGGATTAAGTACAAATGGGTAGTGACAGAATAGTCATAGGAATGTAAAATACAGCAAACAGAATGTAGTCAATAATACCGTAATAACTGCATGGTGTCAGATGAGAACTAGATTTATTGGAATGACGAGTTAGTAAGTTACTAGTATATAATGGCTAATCACTGGGGGGTACACCTGAAAATAATATAATAATGTATGTTAGGTGTAATTGAAAAAGAATTTTAAAAGAGGACACTATAAATAGTGAAAAGGAAATCCACAAAGTGGGAGAAAGTATCTGCGTATTATATCTGGTAATGGGTTAATATCCAGAATATATAGAGTACGCCTAAAACTCAACAACAGAAAAACAACCACCAGATTTTAAAAATGGGCAAAGAGCCGAAACTGGTTTGGCTAAGTGGATAGAGCGTCAGCCTGCGGACTGAAGGGTCCCGGGTTCGATTCCGGTCAAGGGCATGTACATTGGTTGCGGGCACATCCCCAGTAGGGGGTGTGCAGGAGGCAGCTGATCGATGATTTTCTCTCATCGATGTTTCTAACTCTCTATCCCTCTCCCTTCCTCTCTGTAAAAAATCAATAAAATATATATTTTTTTAAAAATAGGCAAAGACTTAAAAAGACAGTTTTCCAAAGAAGATATACAAAGGCCAATAAACACACGAAAAGACGCTCAATGTCACTAATCATTAGGAAAAATGAAAATCAAAGCCAAAAGAGACACCACTTCACACAAGTACTGGCAAGGATACGGAGAAACTGGAACCCTGTGCACATCGGTGGAAATATACAAATTCCAAGCCCCCACTAATAAGAAAACCGGAGGACTCACAGACACAGCTCATCAGAGATGTGTTCAACTACAATCTTAACAGTAGGCCTATGCTTTACGCCCTTTTTGACGTCCTATAGCCCCTAGTACATAAATACTTTGTGCTAACAAATTTATTGGCCATTTATTAAATATTTTAGACTGATATTAATATACTAGAGGTCTGGTGCACTGGGGGAGAGGGGAGACGAGGCGGGTGTCCCTCAGCCTGGCCTGTGCCCTCTCACAATCCGGGGCCCCTTGGGGAATGTCCGCCTGCTGGCTTAAGCCCATTTCCCTTAGGGATCAGACCTAAGCCGGCAGTCAGACGTCCCCCTCACAGTCCGGAACCCCTCTCTCCTTACCACCTGCCTGCATGGAGGCAGGAGAGCTCCCGCCACCACCGCTGTGCTCGCCAGCTGTGAGCCCAGCTTCTGAGCAGCGCTCCCCGCTGTGGGAGCACACTGACCATCAGGGGGCAGCTCTTGTATTGAGCGTCTGCACCCTGGTTGTCAGTGCACATCATAGCAACAGGTCGTTATGCCGTTTGGCCAATTTGCATATTAGAGTTTTATTATATAGGACAATTCCAAGAGGACATGACTTTTGAGTTAAGAGAAATAACCTCCTTATTTCTAGAAATAAGTATTTTTCCATGTTTATAGATTTAACATTTTACTTTGAAGTATATTTTATATTTACTGGAAAATTATAGAACCTTGGTATCCTTATACAAAATTTTCACCATTTCTAATTATCCTATGTGATAAAAGGGTAATATGAAATTGATTCATAATCAAGGGAAGTTTGATAGGAAGTTTGATCAGAGTTTAACCTGCCAACCACGCACAGCCCCTCTCCCAGTCGGCCCCACTCCTATCAGATATTCCCCATCCCCTGATTGGCGGTGGGGCCAACTGGACCCCACCAGTGCTCCAGGCCTCTAGCCCTACCTAATAAAAGAATAATATGCAAAGTAACCATCACTCCGCTACACCCATAAATCACGCCTACTGGCCACGCCCACCAGCCAATCAGAGCGAGTATGCAAATAAAACCAACCAAGATGGCTACAGACACAGAGAGCAGGAGGAAGGCTTGGGTTTCCCCAGTAATGGAAGAAGCCAAACTTTCTGCCTGCCCTTGCTGGCCTAGCCTCCACTCCAGCTACAAAGTTTCAATTATAGAAGATACATAAAACCCAACAGAAATGGCTGTCGGTCATGGAGCGAGCAGGAGGCTTGGCTCTGCTCCAGGCTACAAAGTTTCAATTGTAGAAGGTAAATAAATTCCAGATACCAGGGCCTCCACTTGGGTCACCAGGGGGTATAGCTGGCCTGCAAACTACCACAGGCCCCTCCCTCAGGCTGCCCCACGCCCCAAGGAAACTCCCACCTGATCTGAGACATCCTCCAGGGCAAACCAGCTGGCCCCCACCCGTGCACCAGGCCTCTATCCTATCTAATAAAAGAGTAATATGCAGCTTGACCATCACTCCAACACACAAGGTCAAGATAGCTGCCCCCATGTGGTCAAAGATCCTGCCCCATGTGGATACAAGATGGCCAGCAGGGGAGGACAGTTGGGAGGCACCAGGCCTGCAAGGGAAGGCAGTTGAGAGGGACCAGGGCTGCAAGGGAGGGCAGTTGGGGGCAATCAAAGGGTGACCAGGCTGTCAGAAGAGGGAAGGTGGTGGCAAACAGGTTGGCAGGGGAGCAGTTAGACATCAATCAGGCTGGCATGGGAGTGGTTTGGGGGTGATCAGGCAGAAGCCATTAGGGGCAATAAGGAAGGCAGGCAGGCAAGCAGTTGGAAGCCAGCAGTCCTGGATTGTGAGAGGGATCCCAGGATCGGGTCTAAATGGGCATTCGGACACCCCTCAAGGGGTCCCAGATTGGAGAAGGTGCAGGCTGGGCTGAGGGACACCCTCCTGCCCCCATGTAAGAATTTTGTGTACCGGGCCTCAAGTTCGGTTATAAGTCAATTCCCTGGAAACTCTGACCTAATTCTTTCTAGCCAAGGCAGTAGGTCCCGGCAAGTGCGGTGTGTCCAGCTGGGAAGGGTGAGGAGCCCAAAGGGACACAGACCAAGCACAATGAAACCCTATATCTGAGGGACTTAGGCTCTTCTGGGTTAGTAACATGGTTTTAAACAGCAGAAACTGCCCCCAAACACCGCGTTTTGAGTGACATGTGTACACAGAAGTCACCCAGAGCCCGTGCCTGCTGGCATTGACTCCACCTCCCGCTGGGCCGACTTCCCTCTCAGGAGCTCCCCGGAAACTGAGACGGATGAGGTTTTCCTCAAGAACCTGGATGTGGTTGCTTCCTCACTTTAAGCTCAGAACTTCCATCAAACAAAATGTGGGAAGGCCAATTCGCCAGGTGAAACGCAATGACTATGGCAAAGCCATGTGCGTCAGCAAACTGTAAGCCTGCTGACTGGGACACACACTCTGATGGGTAAGCAGCCGCACACCATTCTTGCAGGTAAAGCGCAGCACTGCCCCGTGGAGAGCGAGCTGGTAGCTGATGCGATGACTGGCGCGTCCGGACGAGCAGCAGCCACACTGGAGCAGGCCCTCAGAGGCCGCGGTCATCACTGCCGCCAGAGTGCGAGCGCCCTTGGAAGAGAAACGCCAGCGTGCAAACAGTCATGGATTTCCACACGACACTCGGGGGCACGTACCTGGTCCTGCAGGTCGTAGTCATAGCTGTCATGCAGCAGGAGACTGAGGACATACCGCGTGTAGATCATGGCATCGATGCCACATTTCTCCAGCTCCTGTCCCAGCCAGGTCTGCACTGGACCCAGAGCATGCAGCAGAGACATTTCAGAGGCCGAGGCGGGGCCTGGGGAAGAGCCGGAGGAGCCTTCAGGTGGGAAACCATCCACAACCGCACAGACAGGGCGCATGAATTCAGGTGGCAGACTTCCTTAGAGCGCAGAGCATCTTCCGCAGCTGACGTGCTGTTGGTGTCGGAGGGGTTTCACTCCGGGGGAGGGCAGCGAGGCGGGGCATGGAGGGTGGGCATTGGTCTGGCTGGCAGGCAGCGTCTAGCCCAGAAGTGCCCTCCGCGGGCGGAACCAGGGCGTCAGCATCCCAACAGCACACAAGCAGGTGGGATGCTCTCCTTTAATTTCCCATGGAGGCCGATGTGGGTCTGCGCACAACGAGAGAGAGGTATGCATCACTTAGACGTATAAATTAAGTTACTGATCTTTTTCTTTCTTTTAGTATATATTTTGATTTTTTACAGAGAGGACGGGAGAGAGATAGAGAGCTAGAAATGTCGATGAGAGAGAAACATCGACCAGCTGCCTCTTGCACACCCGCCACTGGGGATGTGCCCGCAACCAAGGTTCATGCCCTTGACCGGAATCGAACCCGGGACCCTTCAGTCCGCAGACCGATGCTCTACCACTGAGCCAAACCGGTTTTGGCAAGTTACTGATCTTTTGAAAATATCCAAATGAACTGTCCCTCTTTATTAAAATACCTTTGGTATCTTAGATTTTTTTGTTGCTATAATCTTTGACATTTTAGCAAAATAGCATTTTAAACTTTAAAAATTGCAATATTTTTTAAAAGGAAAACTCAGAAATTTATATTCTTGTGCTGGTGCTCCATTAGACTCATGTTTATTTTGCTATTTCGAGAACTAGTCAAATTCTGTTCCTATGTAATTCTGAAAGAATTTATCTGGTAAGAAATCACTCATGATTTTTAAGTATAACAAAAAACAGCAGCTGAATAGTAACGTCACTGAAATACTGGTAAAGAGAATTAGTCCTTTAAGTTTAAACTTTACCACAAATAATCCATTATTTTGTATGGCTAAAGAATGTGGATTTGCCTGTCACTTATTTCATAAAAACTAAAGTGAGCCTGGCCAGCATAGTTTTTATAAAGCACAATCTCTCTCTGATGTGGCACATACATATTATTTGTGGGAGGGTTTCTCCATTGACTTGTGGGGCCCAAATATAAAATGTGGTTAAAATCCACAGGATTAGGTGCCTGCCCCGCTGGCTTGGCTCAGTGGCTGAGCATCAACCCACAAACCAACAGGTCACAGCTCAATTCCTGATCAGGCACATGCCCGGGTTGCAGGCTCGATCCCTAGCGATGTCCTATAGCACCTAGTAGTGATGTTTCTATCTCTTTCTCCCTCTCCTTTCCTCTCTGAAATCATTATATATATATAATTTTTTTTTTTTAAGAATACACGTAATCTCCCCATCCTAATACAGTTCACTGTTAGTATTTTGGTGTGGGCATTACTGTTTTTTCCTTTGCACAGAACTTACATTTTATTTCAGCATGTAGAATAATAATATTTTATATTCTGCCTTTTCACCTAATATTGTGTCTTCCCGACGCTGTTCTCATGGCGCTAAGAGGGCAGCACAGTCAGGTGGTGCTGTGTGACTAAGTTAAAGTCAGCTTTGTGGCACACTAGCCACAGTTCAAGTGCTCAGCAGCTGGCTCCATCGTGGCACCAGGTCTTGCGGCGCTGCCCCGTCACCCTCTGCTTCGATGCCGCCCGTTTCCACCCTCTCCCAGCAAATGCCTGTGGGCTGAGCAGTGTTCCCATGTTCTCCGCACGTGCCAGTGGGCGGCAACGCACACTCCTCTTTCCTCCCTGAGCTGGGATGCCCACGCAGCTGTGTGAGGTAACAATGTGCCCACGGGGTGTCGGGAACCATCTACCTTTCTGTTTGATAGGTAGATGGTTCTCACATTTCAAATGGTCAAGTTTCATTACAAAGCGTATCACAGAGTGGCCAATGACGGAGTCAGACTGCAGAACAGAAGCACAGAGGAGGCTTACTACAAAGGAAGAAGACATCAGAATGACCAGGATGAGGGCCAGGAAAAATCTGGAAAAGCTATTTAGTCAAACAGGAACAAACCACCCCACATGGCAGCAGCTTAACACCAAGGCCTTTGTCCTGCTCTTGCTGCATCGTCCTGGGCTGGCAGGACGCTCAGAGCGCCCACTCAGCACAGTGGTCCTGGGAGACAAGACGGCAGTATGGCCCAACTGAACACAGCCAGCCCTGGAGCCAGGGGACACGATCTGTCCGAAGCGTGCGCTGGAGCTCTGAACGCTTCCCGGAGTGAACCACTCACAGCTCACCAGTCAGGCCAGCCTCCTGGCCGCCTTCACTGCAGGGGTGGGACGTGCACCCTCCCCTGTGCCCACCTCTGCGGAGAGAAGAGGGAAGACAGAACAGGTGTCAGAGTTCACACGGATCACTTACGTGATCGAGATAACTCTCCAGGTCAACCCTGCGGAAGCCGGCACTCTGGCCAACGTAGATGGACCGCGCGAGGCCGGTGAATTACAGCCCTGCACAGAAACACCAATCCCTACAAAAGCAGCCCGAGCGAGGTGTCCAGAGGGTTTCGGAAGGCATGAAAGCCGCTCACACATTCAGACCCAAACAGCAGCGGATCCCGCCCGCCCCACCTCCAGGAAGCTTCTCTCATTGCCGAGGCCACGCTGCCCTCCCATCACCCGCGGCTTCCCACGCCCTCCATGCACGCGCCTCCAGCTGCCTCTGCGGGAGGCTCCCGCACAAACCGGCTCGGAGCTCTTCAGGGCCACACTGGGACACAGTCCGTGCACTCGTCAGCAGAAGGCTCAGGCCTGGCAGGTGAACTAAATTTAAGTCAAACTAAATCCTTCCAATCTTAAGAAGCTGACATGGACACCTGTTTGGCCGAGGCATCCGGGATGGACAATCAGACCTGCAGCCTCACTGCCATCTAGAAGTGTATCAAGTCCTAGGAAATGAACAAGGCTTCGTTTTAAGATGATGTCATAAATGAAACTAGTCTATGCAAATAGGAAGAAGTTCATAAATATTAAGAAATTTCATTTTTACTAGCTAGGTTATCAGAAATCAACTGATTAGTGAGTATTCTCTAGTGGCAATTAAAATGTGTAATTGTTTTATAGATAACACTACTACTTGATAATAACAGGAATTAGCAAATTACAGGCACATAATATTAGTAGACCTGGTTAATCTCTATGTTTAAAAGATAAGGAAAAAAGATAAGAACCCAGATAGAATGATAAAAATCCAGGGGAAAACACTCTGTTCTACATAGAAGTATAAGTACTAAGCACGTTACTGTTCCAAAGTCTGAGTGCCCATGCTCTGATGCTTAGAAAAGTTTGTTGCTGGAGAAGGCGCCAACTGAGAAGAGGGAAGACCTATTTCTCAAATCCATTTTAAGAAAGTACAGAGTTCAAGCTTCTTTTACAGCAAGGGAAGGGGAAAGGGGAGGGACAAGAGGTGACGGACAACTGAAGACACCAGCAGGGTCTGAGGAAGATGGTTCTTAGTCTGCTGACTCTAGCTGATGTGAGTCCGTCACGAGGTTCCTGCAGATCTTTGACAAACAATACTACATGCTTTCCTTAACCTTCTCGGGAGAGGCACTTTCTATAAAAGCCAAGCCAATAGCAGAACCCCCTAATGGTGAGCATGTCTGTGCGCGAGACTAAGCAGACATTTAGCATGAAGGCCACGGGACCACCCAGGCTGACCAGCACGCAGGCAGAGGCATGCATCTCCCTCTGGTGACACTGAGTGAAAGGGAAGCGCTCTCTGTGGAACCCGCACAGCCTCTCCCGACAGTTTAGATCCGCCTCTGTTTTAACGGGGCCGCCTCTGAAGGAGACAGCCTGCTTATGTAAAGTGACGCTGTTTTAGTTCTTTTACTTGACTGGCAGCTATTTGATGATTCATACTCATCTGTTAATATTTGTGGTTTAAAAACCTGGACTGCTTTTCACAGATTAAACTCTCTTTGCAGGTTACCACCTCACGATAACCACTGAGGTGCTCAGTTCCTCTCGATCTATTAGATGACAACCATCGTTAGCAGGGCTACAAAACTGGCAGTTTTCATGCCTGCATAAAGTCCTTATAGGTCTACAAAATGCCTTTGTCCCTGAAAGGTGAAAACAGAATCAGACAGCGGTGGGCGGAAGGGCCGCACACTCCGCCCCCAGGCTCCGGAGGCTGCAGGGCGGGTCGCACCCGGAGCCAGAGGACGCCCAGGAGCTGACGCCAGGATTCCCAGCTCAGCCGGCGGGAGGAGGCCCCTCCCAGGCCAGTCTTCACCTCTGACCTTGTCCGCAGTCCTGTGTCCCTGAGATCACATGCCTTTGACATGCCTGCTGTCTGTGCACCTAAGACAAGGTGCTTTGAAACAGCAGCGTAACCCTGCCCAGACCCTGGAGGCACAGCCCTGCACCAGAGCGGAAGCCCGCTGTCCCTGCCGCTCACACACCACCGCCGGTTCTGTACATGCTAACCGTGCTTTCCCATCCTCCAGTTCAGAACATGCTAACCATGTGTATCTCCTCCGGTTCTGTACATGCTAACCATGTGTATCTCCTCCGGTTCTGTACATGCTAACCATGCTGTGCCCTCCTCCAGTTCTGTAAATGCTAACCGTGCTTTCCCATCCTCCAGTTCAGAACATGCTAACCATGTGTATCTCCTCCGGTTCTGTACATGCTAACCATGCTGTGCCCTCTTCCGGTTCAGTACATGCTGTGTGTATCCTCCTCCGGTTCTGTACATGCTAACCGTGTGTACCCTCCACCGGTTCTGTACATGCTAACCATGCTGTCCCCTCCTCCGGTTCTGTACATGCTAACCGTGTGTACCCTCCTCCGGTTCTGTACATGCTAACCATGCTGTGCCCTCCTCCGGTTCTGTACATGCTAACCGTGTGTACCCTCCTCCGGTTCTGTACATGCTAACCATGCTGTGCCCTCCTCCGGTTCTGTACATGCTAACCGTGTGTACCCTCCTCCGGTTCTGTACATGCTAACCATGCTGTGCCCTCCTCCGGTTCTGTACATGCTAACCGTGCTTTCCCATCC